CCAAGCCGCCACCCCACCCCCCGTGACACCGTCAATTTTTTTTTAAAAAAAGATTGTTTTTGTAAAATAATTTCCTGGATCAAATCTTAGGGTCGGATTTTGGAACGTTCATCGGGGTCTTATCCTAATTTGGGTGTCGAGGTCGGGTTCTAGATCAATTATCGGGGTTGATTTTCGGATTAGAAATTATTTTCCTAAAGAGTATTTTTTAATCTCAAGTCAAAAATAAAAGATATTTCCTGAAAAATATATTTCTTTCACTTACCAAACATTATAAAATAGTTTGTACATTATAAATCCACTTGTTTTCCAAGAAAACATATTTTAGGAAAACATTTTCCTTCGTACCAAACACACCCTATATCTCACATTGATTGCAAGTAAGACTACCTCTATAAATAATGTACAAAATATTTTTGCTTCTATAACATATAATAACTAAACTATTTGTTTAATTGTCAAATGACAATGCTTCACCTTCAAAATCTTTTTCCCCTTAATATAATGGTACCAACAACTAAGTTGTTTTCTGCAAATAGTACTACTCATTTCTCTAACAAATTTTCATACAAAATTAGATCAAAGAAAACTAGTCAATCAACATTAGGAATTGATCATGGCATTGGCATGTCTTCCTCTTCTATTAAAGCATTGAGTGATCATCAAGGAGATGTTTTAGCTAAAAATGGAATAGGGATTGCCGACTTTTTTGAAGCCAAAAACCTTCTTGTCACTGGTGTTACAGGATTTCTTGCAAAAGGTAATTTCATTGATAAATTTTTACAAAATGTGTGTTAAATTATGCATGGGTTTGGCGGTGATGTGCATAGGCGTGGTACTCCATTTCATCAAAATATCAGTGTATGTGAGACGATTGAACGTCCATAGTGGATAATTCTAACGAAGAAACGGTATATTTGAGCTATTTGAGAAATGGTTAGAGTATTTTTATCAAAAGATATAACAAAAGGATAAAATTGATGCTTTTCATATAATAAAGGAGCAAATTTGACCCTTTCCTTTGTTGTAATAGTAAGATCACAAAGCAAGGTTGATTCTTTTTGCCTACTATGATACCACGTTAAAATACATACTAAGCTTATTGTATCTAAAACATTAAGTTGTTAGAGAAAGTAGACATTTGACCACTTAATTATATCCTCTAACATTTACAATAAAACAATATTTTGCAGTTTTGATTGAAAAGATGCTAAGAACAACACCAAAAATAAACAAGATCTACCTCCTTGTTAGGGCAAAGGATAAGGAAGCTGCATTTGACAGATTAACAACTGAAGTATGTTTAATTAATTAAACTTTTTATATTAAAACAATTTAATTTCCAAATTAAGTCACTTATTATGCATGTATTTGTTTTCATCAGATAATAGAGTCAACATTATTCAAATGTCTAAAAGAAATGCATGGGGAATCTTATGAGTCATTCATAAGGAGTAAATTGATTCCTGTGGTTGGAAATATTCATGAGCCAAACCTTGGTATGGATAGTATTATTTCTCAACAAATAGCTCAAGAAATTGATTTGATCATTGACTCCGCAGCAAATACCACATTGGACTTGAGGTTAGTATGACCATCTCATCTAAAAGTTGTCAGAGACTCAGAGAGATCACGTACACTTTTATTTTTATATTTAATTAATTACGTCTTCATCAATATTATCTAGGTATGACTTAGCTCTTGATGCTAATGTGAATGGTCCATACCAACTCATGAAGTTTGCCAAGAAATGCAAGAACTTGAAACTTCTCATTCATTATTCGACCGGTATATATTCGAACTTGAAGCTTACCATCAGATCAACTCTCTCTTGTCTCTCATTTTTAATTTATTTTCTACTTCATTCACTTCTTTCAAATTTAACTTTTGTAGATATAATATATTATATGATTATTTATACACATACACAAGTGCATGAAATTTACCACCCACAATTCATTCAAATGTAGATTATATTTTAATTAAATTGTATATTTTTTAACATATCTTTAAATATATTAAGTACGATTCTGTTATTTTATTCAGTTATTTTTATAAATTTTAAAAATTATATAGTACAATTATAAAATTTAAATAAAATTAAACTTTCGATTTTATTTAAAAAATTGAATAATCGATTCAATTAGGTCAGTAAATCAATTGTTTTGTAAAAAAAAAAACATCGATACCCATAACTATAGTACTTCATCATAATATATTTGAAATCCTAGTTGGTTCATTTCTTTCATTTGTGCTTTCATTTTTTTAGTTTATTTCAATTTTTACACTAATGGAAAAGTTAATAGAAATTCATGAAATATTTTGCACCCTTGCAAAGTCTAAGTTTGTAAGTCGATGTTATCTCTGTACAGTTGATCTACGTGCATTTGTGGAATTACTATTAAATAACTACATATTTTTAGACAGAAGCAAATAGATCGACTTAGTCTATGCAATTTACCAATCACAAATCAATAGACACGCACAAAAATTAGCACCAAGACTTGAGAAATTATTTTTTCTATCGTCTTTATCGATGAAAGTGTATCAAATAAAAAATAAAAGTGTTAAACCAACAAATATTAGTGATCTAGTGGCAGAATCGTACCCCACTCACGATACTTATAACCTGGATTGTATTTTGAAATGATGCATAATTGTGTAATTTAAGAAAATTCATGAATTGAACTTTTTCATTTTAACAAAATGGATCGAATTCGTTTGTTTTAATATTTTCCCTTGCCAATTAACGAAAGGACTCTGTCTATTTCTTATGAAGCACTTATATTATTCTTTTTGTAAGTTGTCACTTGTAATTATGAACAATTGTAGCAAAAAAATTGTATTTAGCTATGAATTTTTTCGTAGCAAATAGTTGAATTATTCACTACAAATTTTAAGTCGTCGCTATTTAACACCTTACATATTTTGTGACAATTTTTTTGGGGTCACTGAATCACAGATTGTTTAGAGACAATAAAATCTTTGTCACCAATTATTTATACTATTAGTGACGAAAATAAATATCATAATTAAAGCTAAATTCTTATAGCTAAAATTTATAATATTTAACTACGAAATCTAATTTGTCGATATTGTAACAACATATTTTTTTAGATGAAATTTTTTTGGGTAAAAAAATCAATAAATTTTAAGACTAAAAATAATTTGTCATGAATTAGATACATTATTAGTGACGAAATAATGTGTCACCGATAATTTTAAATTCGTGACTAACACTACTTAACAAATTGCGCCAATTAATTTTTTGGTGGGAAACTTTAGTAGACGAAACTTTGCTACGGATTTTTTGTTTCGTCACTAAAAGTATTTCTCTCATATACTTAAGCACGAAAAGTAAATTTTGTCACTAAAAGCAAACAATTAGTGACGAATTTGATGTCGTAGCTAATAATTTCGTAGCTATATATCATATTTGTTGTAGTGTTTAAATCAACTTTTCATGTTATATGTTTTATAGTTTTTCTTTATATATATATAACGACATTGTTATATAGAAAACTATTATAAAAAAAGTATATAATTTAATTACTTTATTCACTTTGTTTCTTTTAAAGCATATGCCAATGGAGAAAGAGAAGGTCTACTATATGAGAAGCCTTTCATCATGGGAGAAAGCATAACAAAGGAAAAACTGACATCACATTCTTCATCTGCTAAATTTCCATCTCTCAATGCTGCCAATGAGTTGGAATTTGTATCAAAGTTGAAGAATTCTATTGAAAATAATGAGTTCAAGAAAATTATGAAAGAATTAGGAGCTGAGAGGTACATTGTTTTTTTGAAACTTTTTGTGTAAAATAATTCATATATAGATGTTTTTGTGACTAAAAGTCATTTTATTAAGGATAAAACAAATATTTTAATGTTAAATTGTCACTAAATATCGAAATGTGTCAGTTTTTAAAAGGTTGATTAAAAAGAAAAATTGTGTCATATAAATTATTACAAAGGAAGTGTTATGGAATCGAAGAAATTAGAAAGAAAATTTAAAGAGAGAGCGAATGATAACTCTGTGAATTGATTTTTGAATTGATTCAAATAGAAGAGTACATCACTAAATATTTTGCAATTAATGGAAACCCTAGACTTGAAAGGAAATAAAATACTATAGAATAATTCTAGACTAAAAAGAAAAAAGTAAAAAAATTCTACCAAATCTCAATAGGAAGTTCTATAGGGTGTACTAGTACAGTGTGAGATTAGTTATGCTAACACTATCTTTTTATTGTCTGTTTGATTTGTTATATTAAATGAATATGAATAATAATATTGAATATGATGTATTATAATATGAATAGTACCCTATATTAATTTTAATCCCATGATTTGTTATACACTCACTTAAACTAAATAGAATGTATAATAGATACATCTATTCGTTACACCATAATTAAATTTGCAATCAAACATCGTATAAAATATAGTAACTATTCTTATGCATCATACCAAACAATTCAAATAGTAGTACTCCATATCTCTCCCATTTCAATGTGATGATGTTTGACTGAATACAAAATTTAAGAATAAAAGAAAAGTTTAGATTGTTAATATTTTCTCTATTTCATATTAACTGAATTTTTAGGGATTTTCTCATTGTTCAAAATAATTGAATTGTTCAAAGTTCAAGATGAATGTTTGATTTTTTTTTTTCATATTTGCCCTTTCCTTTAATGAAGTTAGATGATTTTTAGGAGATAAATTACACTACTTGCAAAATTATATTTATGATTTCACAAAGGAAAATAGTGGAAAGTATTATTTAAATTATGTCCTTGAATATTTTTCTTAATAAGTGTGCATTACCTCACAAATTCAGTTAATATAGAATAGAGGGAGTACTAAATATGGAAGCATGCCATTTTTTCCCGAATCGACTAAAAAGGAAAAAAATATCACATAAATTAAGATAGATTGAGTAACATATATAACTATATAGACTATAATATACATACATATATTCGAGTATTATTAAATGAATTATACTATATGATTTATAATATAATTATCCAATAGGGCAAAGTTATATGGATGGCATGATACATATTCATTCACAAAGGCCATGAGTGAGATGGTGATTGATAGCATGAGGGAAGACATACCAATAGTCATTATTCGTCCCTCCATAATAACAACTAGTTATGAACAACCTTTTCCTGGATGGATACAAGGATTCAGGTACCATACATTATACTCTCTCGATCTGTTCTGACTTGACACAAAGTTTTAGAAATTAAAAAATGACTTTCGAATAAAGTTAGTTTCTAATTGTTTATGTTCTTCTATCTCACAGGGTAATCGACCCTATAATTACTTTCTATGGAAAAGGTGTGTTTCCAAGCATTTTTGCTGATCCAAATTGTCTTATTGATGTGGTATGTATGCTTTTCCAATAGATTTTAGTTTTATATTCAACATGTATTTTTGCCAAATTTTCCAATGAAAATATCTCTTTTGATCGTTCGGAATGATCTCTTTGTTGGGTTTTGGGTCTTTTTTCCTTTCTGTGGATAAATAAAAGTACAATTTGGACTAGCCCACTTTTGCTCATAAATCCAATATTATGGTGCATATGTAAGACTTATTTTAGGTCTTACTTTCAAGTTTTACAAGAAATAGATCAACAACCATATAGAGAGAAAAGTGAGAGAGTGCAGATTTTCGCACAAGCCTTAGCAGTAAATTTCAAATCGTGATTTCTGCTTCATTCCTGATTTTTGGACAGCTTGTTCCTTTCAACTTTAATCTCTGATTGGGAACTGAGAGAGGTGGATTTGGAGTCATGTAGCTCCAGATTTTAGCTCATGAGCAGTAACTGCATTTTGGTGATTTTACTCCTTTTATTTCTCTAGCTTTTTGATGTTATCTTATAGTTGTATTGCTCATTGTTTGGCACTCTGTTGGTGGCCATTTTGGAGAATACTTTTGCAACTCTTGTGATTATAGTGGAGTTTTGTCCTTGTGGTTTTTACTCTTCACCCACCCCGAAGAGGTTTTCCACATTAAACTTTGTGTCTTGATTTTATTTTGCTTTGTATTGGTTGATTTGTTTGCTGCCCCAAACAATATTTGTTCTTCCATTAGTTTGTCTTCTCTTGGTTCAAATAGAAGGGAAAATTTTGACTTGGATTTTCTTCCGCTATTATCTTGTCGTGTATCTTTATTTGTGCTTGTCTTTCCCAACATTCTTCTAGCCCTATTGATTTGTTTTGATCTGATATGGAATGAACTTGTTTGATCATTATCTGACAACTTGTTTACTTGGTTTAGGTTCCTGTTGATATGGTTGTAAATGCTACAATGGCTGCTATTGCAAAACATGGATACTTGCAAAGTCCAGAGCTAAATGTCTATCATGTAGCATCGTCATCTGTGAATCCTTTATTAATGTCACAACTTTTTGAGTATTGCTATGAATTTTTCCATTATTTTCCTTTTGTTAACTCAAAAGGAGATCAAGTTGAGGTTAGGAAGATGAGATATTTCAACAACATATTGGATTTTTCAAATTATATTTTGGAGCAACTGCTCAAACAACATGATGAAGAACAAGATTTGATTGAAGCTGAGCATTCAAAAATGCAAATGCATTTAAAAAAGAAGGTGCAATATTTGGAGAATTTTAGCAATTTGTATGAACCATATGCATTCTACAAAGGGTGGTATGACATTTCCTATCCTCAATTTCATGTTTTTTATTAATAATATTACTCCCTCCGTAACTTGACACGGAGTTTAAGAAAAAAAAAGGAAGACTTTAGAAACTTGTGATCTAAAATAAGTGATAATTATTTGTGTGGATATAAATCATTTTATTAAGGGTAAATGAACATTTTAAAGTTAACTTATTACTTAATATATAGAAATGTATCATTTTTTTTAAGACTGAATAAAAAGGAATTCAAGTCATATAAACTGAAACAAAAGGATGAACATTATACAGGTAGTATACCTTCAAGTATATTGTTTTTCAAAAAATGTCATATAAAATAAGGGAGAGAGGAAGAAATCCTTACGTCATACCATCCTACAGAAGGTGGTATGATGTTATTTTCTTAAATTTAAGACCTAGACATTATGCTTGATATTGAATATCTAGTGATGAGAAGATGAAGCGTAGTAAATTTCTTGTGTGCTCAATTTTTTATTTTTTATTTTTGGATTGTTGTTTTGCAAGGTTTCACAATGGCAACATGCAAAAACTAATGGAAGATATGTCTGAAGAAGAGAGAAAAAGTTTTGATATTGATTTATCAAAAATAAATTGGAGAGATTACTTTATAGGAATCCATATTCCTGGAGTGAAAGAACATGTATTGAAAAAGGCAGGATAGCATCTTCCTAACACTTTACTTAGATGATTGTTATGTATTATTTCGTATTGCATTGTATTGTATCGTATCGTATCGTATTATTGTATTATTTTAATGGATGTGATATTTGGATAGATATCGTTCTTCATCGTTACACCCTATAGAAGTAGGATGTACACATACTTCATTCCTACCTCGTAGAGGTAGAGAGTCATGTTTCTGAGGGCTCAAAAGGGAACTATCCGACACAAGATTGTAGGTAGGGATGGTAATGGGGCGGAGAGGATGCAGGACAGGGTGGGTTTAAGGTTATGAGGGGCGGGGCAGAATAAAAAATTTCCCGGTTAAGCTCAACCCGCCTCGCCCCGCTCCGGCCCGCCCCATTGTCATCCCTAATTGTAAGAAAAGAGATAACAAAATAGCAAGACACAAAATCATCTTCGTGACTATATTGAGAAGTATATAAGTAACAAAAATAACATACCAAATGTAATCCCACAAATAAGTCTAGATAGATTAGAATGTACTCAAACCTTGGCCCCACCTTTACAAGATAGAAAGTGAAAATACATATTTGTGTGAAAATAAATTAATAAAGTGATGGAATATATGAAATAAAGTGAAGCTCTTGTATATAAAAAGAGATAATAGTTTAATTAATGCTATTAAGAGGGAGGAATAACGAAATGCATTGAAGATCAATAAATATTCCACGAATGCGATTTATAAACAAAATTTGAAATAAGCCAACCATAGGTAAACAAACACAAATTATCGGACCGACTAACTCATATAAGCAAATTATAAGTTGATAAAGTAAATTGTGCTAAAATTATGATATTGCAATTTTTTTTTGTGAAGTGTATGAAAGTTACAATAACAAAGAAGCCAATGATATATTCGGTGTAATTCACAAGTAAGGTCTAAGTAGCGCAAAATATACGTAAACCTTGACTCCTCCTTTATGACATAGAAAATTAATTTAACCGTTCGTATTAACTTGTAGACAACTCAATTATTTCGAGATATATACTTTGCTATTTCTACCAAACATAAGTGTCAGATAACTCTGTCGATCAAGGATCTGTTAAATTGAACTCTAGTCATCAAGATTTGTACTCACTTTATTTTCTTAATTTCAAACTTATGAAAAGAAAAAAATAAGGAAAATGAAGATAATGTTGTAAAACAAGAGGAAAATATAAGAATACTAAACAATATAGGAAGACAAGTGGTGATGGAAAATATAAATCTCTTCAAGTGTGTATTTCCTAAGGGTGAAGACTACCTTTTATAGGATGTTTAAACCATCCTTTTATAACATTTGACAATACGTTACTATAATATTTAATTGATATAATAAATGGATACATTACGTTAGGATAGATTCAGAGAAACATCCACATAATTAAGTGGATTTGTAACACTCCCCCTTGGATGTTTATAGATAATGTGTCTCGTTAAAACCTTACTAGGAAAAATCCAGTGGGAAAAAGCCTAGTGAAGGAAAAAGAGTACACACATCTTGTAATACGCTTTGAGTGTTGCCTCATTAAAAACCTTACCAGGAAAACCCAATGGGACAAAACCTTGGCTAAGGGAAAAAGAGTGCAACGCGTATTTTACTCCCCCTGATGAAAAATTATTTGATATCTTGGAGACGATCCATTCCAATCTTATATCTTAGCTTCTCAAATGTTGACGTTGGCAATGCCTTAGTGAATAAATCTGCAAGATTATCACTCGAACGAATCTGTTAAACATTTATCTCACCATTTTTGTTGAAGATCATGTGTGAAAAAAAACTTAGGTGAAATATGCTTTGTTCGGTCTC